TGTTTGCAATGCTAGTGTCTCCTCTAGCAATTCTCTCCTGCAGATCGGCTACAGTGATGTGCGGTTCTCCCAACTGCTGATCAACAAAGTAACGACTTTGTTCAAGGGCTCTTTTCCTCATGATCATGTTGTGCACAACAAACTTCCAAACTTTATTCTTAGCAAATCTTCCATCTTYGTACCACAACAAGTGTTCTGCCCAGTCATGAAGAGATGAACATGTCCTTGGCCGATTTGCATTATAATCACCACATCCTGTGGGAAACAGACACGGGAATGCCATACTGAAAAAATATGGTGTTGTGAACTCAGACACAGGCGTTCTKTCAGTCGTGGGCCAAGGAATCACTGGTCTTTGAACGGTAGCTGGTTGGTTCACTCGTTGGTCATCTTCATGGTCAGATATAATCTGGTTTACTGCTGTTTGAATTTGCTCTTGATCATTCACACCTGGTTCGGGTAAGAGAACTCCAGACACAGTCTCTTCATCACCATCTACAACTCCAACATCTGGTGCAGGACCTCGGTCATCTTCATGATGGGTCTCGCTAAATTCAACTGTACGCAGAAGTGGCAATTCACCATCCTCAGGTAACTCTTCAATTCTAACTTCATCAATGACAATGTTACTATATGCAATATTATGGGCCCTTAACCATCTAAGTGCTGCTTCTACTCGGTATCTTCGCACTCTAAAATCTTTGTGTGTGTCATCCTTTCCTTGTCTTCGGACACGAATTATGTCCACCTCTGCAGGTAAGCGTGGAAGAATTGTCGCTGGTTCCTGAACAGCCTGTGGGAAAGCAATGCAGTGTCCTCTTGAGGCAATTCCACCATGCTTCAAAATACGCACATGAATGGCAGGTGCTAATCGTGCAATCAGCATCTGCTCTGCATCTGTTAAATCTGCAAGTTGATCTGGTACTGGTCCTGGATCCATATTATTTTCTTGAGACCACAMCTTTGGAACTTGTTTGTCCCTTTTGCATCTACTACAACAACCATTTCTACTACCAATCACTTGAAGACGCCTTTCCTTGCATGTGTCACAAAGAACAAAGTCATATGTCATCTGCTCAATCTCAAATGCTCTAATTGCAAGATAACAATCGTCTTCATGCTTACTTGATCCTGGCGGTGGAGGTGGGGGTAAATCTCCGATGACTTCACGAAGTCTTCGTTCCTCTTTTGAGATCTTTCTCTGGTTGCGCCT